ATAAAACAATCAAAATTAGAAAGAAGAAGTAGGATGCCTCGGTGGCTCAGTCGGTTAAATGTGTGACTTCGGCTCAGGTCATGATCTCACGGTTCGTGAGTTCTAGCCCCACATCAGGTGTCCATACTGACAGCCCAGAGCCTGGAGCCTGCTTCAGATTCTGTGTCTCCCTCTCTCTCTCTGCCCCTCCCCCACTTGCGCTCTATCTCTCGCTCTCAAAAATAAATAAACATTAAAAAAAATTTAAGGGGCGCCTGGGTGGCTCAGTTGGTTGAGCGTCTGACTTTGGCTCAGATCATGAACTTACTGTTGGTGAGTTCAGGCCCCACATTGGGATCTATGCTGACAGCTCAGAGCCTGGAGGTTGATTCACATTCTGTGTTTCTCTCTCTCTCTCTCTCTCTCTCTGCCCTTCCCCCATTCATGATCTGTCTCTGTGTTAAAAATAAAGATTTAAAAAAATTTTTTTAATTAAAAAAAAAGAAGCTTCTCTGTTCTCTTAAGGAAATTAAAATACACATAGACTCTGTGAGATGAAGGATCAAAGATGAATTGATAAAACAACAGAACAAGATAAAAAGGAAGCTGAGGAAAGTAAGAAAAAAAGGACACGTAATAATCCCGCAGAACTTGAAATCACATTGGGAACAGCAAGAAACAGAGCAGACACTATGGCAAATAGAGCTACACACGACAGGAAAAGGACAAAGAAGGAATTAGCAGATGGTAGACAGGAGGACAAATTAACAAAGACTGGGTACAAATCCACCAGGACACAGTCTTAATAACTAAAAAGAATCTTGAAGTAATTGAGGCCTAAATGGCATTTCAAAAAAAAAACCTGAAAGCTAAGATAAAGCCCATAGAACGAATAGATTTCAAGAAAGAAGAAAGAAAACAAAATTACATATATGCTAGGTGAAAAAGGATTTGAGGGGTGCCTGGGTGGCTCAGTCGGTTAAGCGTCCGACTTCAGCTCAGGTCACGATCTCACAGTCCGTGGGTTCGAGCCCCGCGTCGGGCTCTGGGCTGATGGCTCAGAGCCTGGAGCCTGCTTCCGATTCTGTGTCTCCCTCTCTCTCTGACCCTCCCCCGTTCATGCTCTGTCTCTCTCTGTCTCAAAAATAAGTAAACTTAAGAAAAAAAAAAAAAAAGGATTTGAGTTATAAAATGAGAAAAATTATTTTGACCACGGACTTTGATAACAGCAGGTATCAGAGGGAAATGGATATTGTCAATATAAAGAATATTGGGAGATGGGGGGCAGATTTTGGCCAAAGTGAGCATTTGAGTTATGTGTAAGTAATTAGGTAATCAGGTTAACAATCAGGTTAAGGAACAAAAAAGTTTTTATTATCTTGAAAGAAAAGTTATATAATATAAAAATAATGTAATTAGTGAAACAATTACATAAAATGATAATCAACTAGGAAAAGCTCCAGGAATTTCCAAACAAAACCCCAGAGGGTTATGTGTCAGGTCATATTAACGACACTCAATATATTTAAAGTTGACAACTGAAGAAATAGGCTTGGTGTGCCCTTAGATGGCTCAGTCGATTGAGCATCCCGACTCTTGATTTTGGCTTAGGTCATAATCCCAGGTTTGTGGGATTGGGCTCCGCGTTGGGTTCCGTGCTGGCAGTGTCCAGCCCACTTGGGAATTTCTCCCTCTCCCTCTGCACCTCCCCTGCTTGCACACACACACACCTCGCTCTCTTAAAAAGAAAAAAGAAAGAAATTTTTAAAAAATAGGCCTAAGTACAGATTTTAAGTTACATTTAGTGAAAATAAATTAGATTTCAGTATTTTCCAGATAACCATTACAGAGTCGTTGTAGACCATGTAATCAGTAAAAATAGAAACAAAAAGAAGCCAATTTTTAAAATGTTACATTTCGTATAAAATGGAACTTAAGTAAAAGAAAAAGATTTCTAGGACCACTATGTCCAACAGTATGAATGGATTCTTCACCTTTCCATTCTGCTTACCTGGGCAGTATTTGAAAATTCTCTGAAGGCTCCTACAATGTATCAAAAAGCTTATAGTCTTTCTTTAAGAAATACATTTAAAGCAGGGGCACCTGGGTGGCTTAGTTGGTTAAGCATCCAACTCTTGGTTTTGGCTCAGGTCATGATCTTAGAGTTTGTAAGTTCAAGCCCCATCTTGGGCTCTGTGCTGCAGCATGGAGCCTGCTGGATTCTCTCTCTCCCTCTGTGCCCCTTCCCCCGCTTGCTCACTCTCTCAAAATAAATAAACTTAAATTAAAAAAAAGTAATGCCTAAAGCAAAGAAATTCAAATTTGTTATATGGATTATCTTTAAGAAGTTACTCTAAGTCAGTTACTCTTTAAAAAGCAATCGAGTGATTATAATATTCTTCTAGACACAGGTGCTACAGTAGTAATAAAATAGTACTGATGGGATTTACATCTTGGCAGAGAAAGCATAAATGATTATGGAGTTGGTCATGTGATAAGTGTTGTGCAGGAGTACAGAGTTCCGTGAGGATGTTATACAGGGAACCTTACCTAATTTGGGGGTTTGCAGTGGGGAGAAACTGAGGGTTAAGTTGAGACCTACAGGTAGGAGGAAGTGTTTAGGGTAGTTGAAACACCCTTCAGTAAATACCCATTTTAATTTAAATGAAATGGAATCCCTGCTTGATTCCTTACTACAAAAAATTTCCTTGTGAATCAACAGTTTTAATGGAAACAGTTTAAGCCTAAATAAGTCATGGATGAATTTTTATAATCTTTAGGTTTAGGGATCTTGCAAAGCTTGATATGAAATCCAGAACCCACAACAAGATTGTATGGTCAGTATGCCTACATAAAAATTAAAAGTGGCAATTAAACACCATTAAACAAGTTGAGGGCAAGTTAGAAACTGGAGGAAGAAGGCAATGCAGGAGACAAAGGGTTGTTCTTCCTGTTGATACACTGAACTCATAAATTAATGGTAAGATCTTCATAGAAAAATAAAATATGTTCAGCCTCACTGATAAAGAAATGTAAGTTAAGTCTAGATATTTCTTTCCCTATCAGATGGGCCAAGGTTTTAAAGTAGAATTACTTATGTGGAACATCTAACTGTCCCTAGTATAAGGCTGGTTAGGTAAATTATAGTTATAGCTACAGTGGAATATTATGCAACAATGAAAAACAATGTTCATTGACAAAGATGTCTTAACATATTGTTTACTGAAGGTTATAAATCTGGAGTAGATTTTATTTATATGAAATTACAGACACGTCTGTGTATGCAGAGATTGCTGTTTAGAATGATCACCAAAGTGTTAGGAGTTAGTCATTTCATGTAGTCAAGTTTGGATGGCAGAAGTTTGTCTCTTAATGTGAGCATGAATATTTTTTCTGACAATGTGTTTAATTGGTTTACCTGTTCATATTTAGTGTTAGCTTCATATGCTTTCTGCTTTTGAGATAAAACTTGATATCTTAGGTTTTCTCAGAAGTAATTAGTAGGAAAGCATTTTATTTTCTGCTCTATATATTTTGATTAGGTAAATCATCATTAACAGCTTTAACTTTATATGAGTTCCCCTTTTATAATGTATGGACATTTTGATTAATAATTTGATCATTTTAGTGAAACATACTGTAGTCAAAGTATTTATAAAAAGATATTTATTAGTCTAAGGAGAGTGATTTGTTCTCATTTGAGTGATTTCCTGGATTTACTTTCCATAGCAAGTGCTTTGACACAAAGCTTGAACAAGACCTGCATTTAAAAAAATAGAAATCTCTTTTGAGTATCACTTATTTTTTAACTTGAGAGACTCCTGTTTGTATGTAAAGAACACTGTAGTTATTGACACCTAGGCTTTATAAGCTAAAAAGTAATTGACCAGATTTTTCATTAGTTATATTGATTTACAGATTGCAGTTTTTTTGTATCTATTGCTTGTCCCTTTAGAATATTAAGATATTTTGGGAGGCCAGCAACCATGTCTCATCTGGATTAATGGGAAATACTGTGCTAAGTATTTGCCACTGTCTTCTGTTAAGAAATCTGCAGGGGCGCCTGGGTGGCTCAGTCGGTTAAGCGTCCGACTTCGGCTCAGGTCATGATCTCACAGTTCGTGGGTTCGAGCCTCATGCTTGGCTCTGTGCTGACAGCTTCACAGCCTGGAGCCTGCTTCCCTGATTCTGTGTCTCCTCTCTCTGCCCCTCCTGCTCATGCTCTGTCTCTCTCTGTCTCAAAAATAAATAAACATTAAAAAAAAAAAAAAGAAATCTGCAGTTCACTTGAAGCTCTATAAATCATACTTGGCATTCTGTGCTCTTGATACTAGATGGTGAGCTACTTAGGTATATTTAGAAACCTGTTGAAACCTGTATGAAAGGCTAATATATAGATTATTTGATATAAAAACATTTTAAGGTATAGTTTTTTGTTTCCTCCTTCCACCCCTTTGCTAGTTAGTTAAAAATTACTTTAAGAGACTAATTAGAAAGCAAATATATTTTGTAGAATGAGACACATGTAAATGATTTGTGGGGTAAGATATGCTTTGCAGATAGTTTACTTGCTAATATATTTAAGTTGGTGTAACTAAAATTATTAATAAAATTACTTGTATAAAATACAACCTAGCCTTTTAAAAATACCACTACTCTTTATAAGGTACCATCAGAGATAGTAACAACTTTCATTCTTAAGTTTTACTTGTAGTACTATTAAAATAGTAATAGCCTAACCTTCCAGGATAATAACAAAGACCAAAACAGCAACAAAAGCTCAAACTGCTTTCATATATATATATATATATATATATATATATATATATATATGAATTTTTTTTTTTTTTTTTTGCTACAGTTTGTAGCCATATACCTCATTTCCTCTGAGCAAAAAAAGGTTATGATTTGGGTTTATTTTAATTCAGTTCATTTCTGTTCCCTATAGAAAATCAGGTTTTTGGAGAGCTCTAACAGTGTGCTATTGCTGGGCTCTCATCCTTTCTGTTTAAATAATGCAGGTACTTTGATGGAAACCTGGAGAAGCTCTTTGCTGAGTGTCATGTAATTAATCCAAGTAAAAAGTCTCGAACACGCCAGATGAATACAAGGTCATCAGCACAGGATATGCCTTGTCAGATCTGCTACTTGAACTACCCTAACTCGGTGAGTATCTGGTAGTTTAAGGCCAGCACTGACTCTTAGTTTCAGAGGGTAAATCAACTTTCATTATTTAAACAAAGGGAGATCTGGGAGTTTGGGATTGTATTGTAGTAAAACAGTAACCTATCAGAATATTAAGGATAAAGGAAAGGAAGAGGAAGAATAGAGCTTGTTCTTTCCCCTTCCTTCCCTGTTTGCTTTTTAAGCAGCAACTTGTCCAGGTTGTCATTACATACCTAAATCTATTCTGAGTTCATTTTACTATCATGGGAGAATTGTTCAATAGGTGGGCAGTGAATAGAATAATTTTTCATCCAAAATAAAACAGATTTAAAACTAACATTTAAAAATATCCAAAACACTTATAAAATATCTTTAATAGCATTTTACTATGGAGCTTTCAGGATTTTTCATAACCAAAGATTTTCATTTATGCAGATCCATTCTAATGGAGATTCTTAAATATAGCAAGTGGTAACAGAGTTGGAGCAGACACTAGGACCAATTAATTGATGTTTCTCTTCAGTAAAAGTATCCCTCTTAAAACCTATTGAATTTAGGTGATTTATTTTGGCATGTCTAGTAAAGAATTTTAGGCTTAAACATAATCTTTGTATGAAGTCCTTACTTTATTAGTAACCATAGAAAAATAATATTTGTGGCATAAATGTAGTTAGTCTCTTGGAATTCACCTCTAAGATGTTTTAAGATATCTAAGAAATAATTTAATTCTATAAAAATAACTACCTTATTCAAACTCTTCCTAATAATTACTATATACAAAGTCTTTGTCAACAATATTACATATTTTAACATATTGAAGGTTTTTCATTGTTTTTCTCTGAGATTTCTATGTATCTCTGTAGAGGCCCATTTGAAGGGAACTAATTTGTGCACATGTACAAGTGCTTAGAAAAGAGGTTTTAAAAGAAAGTAATTAAGTGCTCTTAGAGAAATAGAACAGAGAATGGAAATAATTTCGTAGGTAAGGTGTTGAGTTGAATTTCCAAGTTCTCAAGTTAGATCATAGCTCTAATGCTAACTATTTGACTTTACATAGTAAATTATTAAATCTCACTGGGTTGGAGTTCTTTTTATCTTTCACATGAGTTGGATAAGATATTTTTTCAAGTCTCTACTATTCTGAGGATTGTAGAATTTCCTTCTTTAAATCACAACCTTAATTTGAGCATTTAAAAAAACAAACAACATTAATATTAAAAATACATTAAATTCATGTTTTGACCATTTTATTATTGGTCTCTAACAGATTCTCTTTACCAGTTGATACTTGTATGGTTCATAAAAGTTTCTGTGAAATAATACTGAAACCCAAGGAATTTGTCCCAGATCATTCAGGGTTTCCTTATTTCCTGGCATTTCTCTTCCTGCTCTGCATAACCAGATCTTCTGTAGTTTAAATCTTAAATGTAATTTGAGTACTGAAACTAGCTGCTTACAAATATCCCTTATAACTTTCTCAGTGCCCTTGGTATTGTCTAACTGTCTCAACAAATTAGAATAAAAACCATGACTGGAGATTTGCATAGTAAATTTTGCTTACACTTGTAACTAGAAGGCCTGCTATTTACTTACTCATTTTTTTCAACACACGAGGCACTATTCTAAGTGTTAGAAACACAATGGAGAATCAAGGCATAATGCCTGCCTCATGTAATTTATAGGTTAGCTAGATAGAAAAGTAAAATGACATATTCAGAAAGAATGGTAAGCACTTTAGTAGGACATGATACTGTGGGAACATGTTGGAGAGATACCCCTAACCCAGTTTTAGATAAGGGAGAATTGCCCACTGAAATTGACCTCTGAAATAACCTCTGGAAGTGTGATAGTTAGGTGAGCCATCAAAATGTGGCAATACAGAAACCAAAGGAAGAGAATGTATTGTAAGAAACATTGCTAAAATCTTCAGAGAAAAGAATTGAAGAGTGACTTTGGAATTAACAACATGAAGTTTACTGATGATACTGGAAAGTTAAATTTAAGTGTTGTGGTAGGATGGAAAACCATACTGCATGACCTGAAGAGTCATTGATTTGAAGGTGGGAAAGGAAGTAGAAGCAATAAATATGAACAAATTGCTCTTTAAAGGAAGTCTGGCTACGGAAGTGATAGGACAAAAAAACAAACCGCAACATGGTTTGGAAAGTAAGTTAAAGATTGTTATGGAAACTGTGCCAAGCATTATGAAAAATACAGTGTAATAAAACTAGGACTTTTTTTTTCATAATATTTAGACTAATATATAAAGATAATTTTAACCTGTTCAGTTTTGCAAGTAAATGTCACCTGAGACTCCATTAAAGCTTTAATTGGATGATTTTTTTTTTTACCTCTGTTGTACAACTCCCATGTTTCAATTTCCACTGCTGTCTTCAAACACTGATACTTGCCTTTTATTTAGTATATTTCTTCAATACCTTTATCCTTCCAGAAAGCAACTTTAGCTTTATAGTGCCATATGCAAACAAATTTTTTAAACAAATGCTTTGGTTGCGTAGGTTGTAGCACTTTGGAGTAACTATCGTGGATGATCTCTCCTTTAAAAACGGTTTCCAGAGACTCACAGGCACTTTAAAATTCATAAATTCCCCCATCCCCCAACCCCTTGTGTTGGGGCCAATTCAGGGGTTTCTTAGCCCTGGCAACATTCACTTTATAATAATGTTGCTTTGAATTAGAGCGTAAGATCTATCTTTATTAACTCTCCCACTCTACTAGGAAGTATACTTTGAGCTATGATCTCATTTTTAAGTAAATAATTTGTATATTGTAAGAATCAGATGTGTTAAAGGTAATTTTGAAGATTATAAGGATAGTCCACTCTCTCATCCCTTACCCCCTCACTCTGAATCTTTGTGCTGGGAACACTGAAAACATCTGATCTAAGTCCAACCCTGTATTCCTTTTTAACTGATTCCATTTTATAGATGAGGGAACTGATGCCCTGATTATTCAGTTTTTGTAAACATAATGGCTTTAACTTTAGAGATTATTTGTCCAACTTCTGATGGAGGAAAGATAATTCTTAATGTACTTACTGCTGTTTGACATTAGTTGCCAAGTATGTAAAATGGCAGGGATAAATAAACCCTTTAAGAGTGTTTAATCTTTCAGTTCTTTTTTAAGGGACCATTAATTTGTTTTACATAATATTTCATGTGTATTTAGTGTATTCTGAGTCAGATTTATTTATGATATACACAGGGATAAGTTTGATAAGATCCCTTGAGTCAGGGAAAGGTTGAGGGACCCAAGTAGATAATAAGCACGAGATAGTAAAGGAATAGAGATACGTGAAAGTAGGAGGAGGGAAAGGGAAATGCAACAGAATGATGATACTCAGATATATCCATAATGATGACACTGCTCTTGAGCACAATAAATGCGTTTATACCACAGGTTAGTTTTTGTTTTATCTTTAGACGTGTGTGTGATTTATTTTCTAATTTATCTTGTTTAGCATTGTTTAGCATCTAATTAAAATGTTTAGTATCTAATAAAAAAATATATTGAAAAGAAGCCTTTAAAGAATAAAAAGCTTTCTTTATATCTTATAATGATCCCTGGTCCAGAAGTTTCAAAGGTAGAGATGTTACTCGCAGTGATCACTTAGTAACCATCGTGACCTTCAGTCTCTCATTCTCAAGGATTCTTATTTGAAAAAAGAAAACATATGAGGATGCATATGTGTTTTTAAGTTACGAATATAACATTTTAGAATTGTTGATCTTTTACTCTGCTATATTTGTCCTTTATAGAATGCTCCTTCTCATTGTAGCCTTGAAAATCATATGCTCTCCATTAGTGATCAGGCAACAAATTAGTGCCAGATCTCCTTTAGCAGTGGGGAGTAATGAGAATAGATTCTTTTGTTTGTTTCCAGATTTTTTTTTTTAATGTATGAGAATACTGATTTCCAAAATATTTACCTTCACTTCCTCTGTGAATGAGTCAGAATAATTGTCAGTCAGAATAGCACTGTATTTTAAACTGGGTAAATATTTTCTGTCTTTTAGGACACTGATAGATTTTTTTTCCCCCATGCCTGCTTCTGGGCATTCTTTATATAGTTGATATGCCGTAGTGTAGAATTTTGCATCCTGACTATTGGTATCTTATGTCATAAGCAACATCAGAAATTTCATGAGCACTTTTCAAATAACAGCTAATTAGAAAATGGAATGGAATTCAAAATATTATGTGAGCCACAAAAAGAATAAAAGAACTAGAAGTAAACTTGGCAAGAAATGTGAAAGCTCTATTATGAAGAAAACTTGAAATACTAACAGAGATAAAAAGATGACTTGAGTGTCTGGAAAAATAGAATAATAGTAAAATATTGAGAAAAAAATAACAACTAGATTGATGGGGAACAGGGAGGAGCTAGTCCTGCCTAATATAAGAATAGTCAGTGCAGTGGAACAAGATAGAGTCAAATATGTGTGAGAATTTGGTGTATTATAAAAGGGTGCATTTCAAATCAGGTGGGTTCAGAAAATGGCATTGGAACAACTTGGTTGGTATCTGGAGTAGAATCTTAAATTTCTTCCTAACTCCTTATATTAAAGTTAATTGATTTAGAAGCCAGAAATTGTAAAAGTAATACACTTTGCTACATATCAATAAGTAGAGAGCTTCTGCATGACAACAAAACGGGAACATTCAGATTCGAAACTGAAAAATATTTGCCACACCTATAAATGGTCAATTTTCTAAGTAGGTGAAAATCCCCACTAAATCATTAAGGGGGGGGGGGAAACCCAGTGGAAAAATGGGAAAAATAGGTGAAGAGAGTGCACAGAAAAAGAAATGTAGAGCCTTAAATCTTTTTTCAAATGCTTAAACTTCACTCATAATAAAATAAAATCAAAATTGATGAAGATAATTCATTTTCACCTGTCAGATTTGCAGAGATCAGGGAATTTGATACTATGTTGACATGGGTATTGTAAAACCAGGTTCTCTTGAACAGTATAAATTGCTACAACCTCTTTGAATGAAGTGTGGTAATAATCTATTAAAGTGTAAATGTGTACCTTTTATAATGTCACTTGTAAAAATTTGTCCCAAGGTGAATTTGCATGATCACAATGATGTGTGTGTGTGTGTATGTATGTATGTATGTATGTATGTATACATATGTATGTGTGTATGTATGTATGTATGTATATATATAGCCAATGCAGTAGCATGGCGGCAAAAAAAAAAGAAGGTCTAAATGTCCTTTAATTGTGGACTGTTTAAATAAATTATGGTACCTTCATACAGAATGTAGAAAGAGGTGGACCCACGTGTACTAATGTAGAACCACATAAGAAACCTATTAAATAATAATAAACCAAGATGCAGAAGAGAGTGTGTGTTACTCTTTGTGTGTGTGTGTATACCTGTGTACATTAGAACATCTCTGAAAGAATATGTAAAATAATGGTAATAGTCATTACTTTTAGGTAGAGAAGTAGAGGAAAAGTATAAGAATAAAGGAGACTTATTTTCAACATAAATTCATACTGTTAAATAATTATTTTTGACCATGAGCCTATATTACCTATTCACTTAAAAATAATTTCAAGTAAATATTATAACATATTCTTAGTGACCATTTGTCTTTTTACAATACTGTCCTCAAGACACTTACTAAAGTACTTGCTTAATATTCCATTATAGAAAATAATATACTTCTTATAACCATCCCTCAAATTAATAGTATTTCAACTCATGTAAGTAATACAAGATTAGACCAAAATGTTACTATTATTCTTAGCTATCTGAATAATCTTTCTGGTTTCCATAAGATTTTGATTATCTTGGTAAGCAACATACCATGCAACTCTATGAAGTCCTATATTTGTGTGAAATTTTTGGTAACAGTTTTGAGATAATAACTCACATACGATACAGTTCACTTACTTAAAGTGATTGTTAGGGGTGCCTGGGTGGCTCAGGTCATGATTTTGCAGTAGACGACTTCAAGCCCCGCATCAGGCTCTGTGCTGACAGCTCAGAGCCTGGAGCCTGCTTTGGATTCTGTGTCTCCCTCTCTCTCTGCCCCTCCCCACTCATGCTCTGTCTCTCTCTGTCTCAAAAATAAATAAATAGTAAAGAAAAAAAAATTTTTAAGTGCTTTTTAGTATAGTTGCAGAGTTGTTGCAGTCACTATCACAGTAAACTTTAGAATATTTTCATCACCCTGAAAAGAAATCTCATATCCTTTTACAGTCACTTCCCTCCCTGCCGCCTGCCACCCAACCCTTGGCAACCACTAATCTACTCTGACTGTGAATTTGCCTATTCTGGACCTTTTGTATACATGCGAATCAAACAGTATGTGGTCTTTAGTGGCTAGCTTCTTTTTATTCAGCATGTTTTCAGTCTCATGTGCATTATACTATATATCAGCACTTCAGTCCTTTTTATGCTTGGATAATATTCTTTCAAATGGATATTCCACATTTTGTTTATCCATTCGGCAATTGATGGACATTAGGGTTGTGTCAACTTGGGGCTACTGTGAAAATCCTGCTCTGAATATTTGTATACAAGTTTTGTGTGGAGCTATGTTTTCAGTTCTTCTGGCTATATACCTAGGGGTGGAATTGCTGGGTCATGAGTAACTCTGTGTTTAATTATTTGAGAAACTGTCACAGTGTTTTCCAAAGTTCCTGCACCATTTTACATTCTCACCAGCAGTGTATGAAGATTCTGATTTCTCCACATCCTTGCCAACACTTGTTATTATGTGTCTTCTTGAATACAGCTGTTTTAGTGGGTGTTAAGTAGTGTCTGATGGCTGTGGATTTTGAGCATGTTTTCATATGCTTATTGGTACATGATATATTATATTTAGTACAAACTTGTCTGCCTTTCCTAAAAATTACAATTATCGACTATAGATGCATTTCTCATTAATTATTTTGTGTTAAATGTATTTGCGTGTCTAGATTTTACCACCAAGTTTATTTTAGGAGTCCATCTAGTCTTGTCAAATGGAAAATTTTAGCCAGTATGAGAAATGTGACCTAATAGAGCCTTATTGGGTCACTATGTATAGTGATTTTTCTGGCAATATCTTTTAAAAGTGCATGTATTATTTTTGTTGCAGTATTTCACTGGCCTTGAATGTGGACATAAGTTTTGTATGCAGTGCTGGAGCGAATATTTAACTACCAAAATAATGGAGGAAGGCATGGGACAGGTAAAGATGTCAATTTGATTTTCATTTTTTGTTGAATTTTCTACAGTGTTTAGACTCTTGCACAGATATGAACAGGTGAAGCATTCTGGATTATGAATTGCATGAGGAACTACTTTCTATATTGAGATAAAAGATAATTGAGGCTTTTTTTTCCTATTTATAATGTGGCAATCCATTTAAAGGTACAGTCCAGGTATGTTTTCTCCGCGGCATTAATATGTGTATATGTCAGGCTGAACTTGTTGAGCAATTTTGTCAGGTCTCTTGCTTGTGCCTTTCAAGTTTTATATTGAAAAACCAATTATTCAGGTCAGCAGTTCTAGTTACATTATGGTGATAAATACACACATACATTTCCTTTAATGGAAAGGGAACAATTAAGATCCTATGAATGTTAAGGTATTCTCAACCTAGTGCCTGGCGATGGTAAGCATTCAGTAAATATTTTTGTTGAATGAAGACATAGTTTAAATTTCAATCTTTTTCAGACTATTTCGTGCCCTGCTCATGGTTGTGATATCTTAGTGGATGACAACACAGTTATGTAAGTATTTCTGATAGATATTGCATGTTGAATATTGGTTAGTTGGTTAAACCAAATCATTTTTTTGCTCAAACCTCAAAGGAGGTGAAATTTTTAGTCTGAAGAGACTTTCTAATCCACATTCCTTCGTAGTAGAAAAGCTCATTTCTAACTTGGGTAAATGCCCAGACACTATTCTTGTAAATATATGGCAAAATACTAGGCAATATGTGATAGCTGCATTTCAGTAAACCTTGGAGTTGGAAAATAGGATATGTCCATTGAGGTCCTCTGCCAAGATGGAGGTAACAGGGAAGGGGATTTGTTGCGATATAGTATTTGTGCAGGTTAAAGAGGAACAGGAGTGGACACACTTTAATGTTGGTATGACACTTATTAAAAGAGAAAAGGAAGAAGGATTTGGTAGGAAGAGACTCAGACTGTGGGGCAGGTGTGAGAGTCTGTAGCAGCCCTGTGGGGAATTCTACCACATAGATTGCCCATACATGAACACTTCAGGAAGCAGAAATGACTGAGCCCCGGTCCCCTTCCAGGCTCTGTCATTCACTGGGAGCTACCCAGGGAGAATGTGGCCTCATTTGGAACACTGCTCCCAAAGGTGCTGCATTTGGAGGTTGTTGGCTAACTCTTCTTGTGAAAGGTTCTCTTTTTGAAGGGAGAAATACACTTAAAGAAACAAGTATAGTTTTTAGTCCTGAACCTGGGGTAGAATCCTGAGTCTGTGTTATTACATAGCCTGAGGCTACTTAATTGACTTCACTTTAGGAAGATAAACAGATTGAGGGCCTGAACTGTCTTGCAAAAAATTGTGTAGTTAGTAGTGGATAATTGCCTATGTAGAAAGGTAGGTTTGTGTTTAAACTTTGGGATTTGAAGGTAATAAAAGTAAAAGCAGCCATGGACTTTAATGAGCAAATTTCTCAACCTGTCTAATAAAGCCTTAAATTGACTTAGCCAGCAGTTTATAAAGCTTACTGGTTCTACTTTATTAACCTCAACCTACTTTGGTTTACTAAAACATATGTACTGTTGCTTGTTGTCAGCTCTGTGTTAATACTGCCTCTATCTTGAATTGAATTTTTACTTTACTGTTTTAAGCTAGCAAAAATCAGTTATATATCATCTTGAGGTATCACCATCCTTCCAGTTGTCTTTATCTTGTCCCCTGATACTTTCTGATTTGTAATTTTTCATCAATACATCAGCTTCAGCGATACATTTCATCAGTATAGGGCACTGTATCTCTTACCTCTTCCACAAACATTTACTGGGAGCATTAAGATACATTTCCTTCCCGGATCACCTGGGTGGCTTAGTTGGTTAAGCGTCCATCTGACTCTTGGTTTTTGGCTCAGATCATGATCTCATGGTTGTGAGATCGAGCCCCACAACAGACCCCTGTGCATGGAGCCTGCTTGGGATTGTCTCTCTCTCTGCCTCTCCCCTGCTCGCTTGCTCCCTGTCTCAAATAAATAACTTAAAACATTTTTTTTAGGTGCATTTCCTTTGGCCAGTAGGATCATAGTGATAAAATGCAGAGTTTAAGTTTTATATATAAAGGCATGTATAAAGTACAGTTAGAAGCAAATTATTCCACCTGAAGAGATTAGGAAGACTTAAGAAGTAATATAAATGGGGTAAAAATGTGGATTGAGGGAGTGGAGGGTAATGGGGGTTAAAGAAAAAATACCAGTATTTTAAAAAATAGTTCATGAACTTCTCTATTAAGTATTCTGTGGTGGCTAGAGAGTAGTAGATTGTTAGAGACGAGGATAAAAGACCTTGACAGTTGATGAGTTTTGTCATAGAAGATTGTTAAGACTCTGATAACAAGATTTACATTTTTAGAAATGTATTGAGGAAGCACCTGGCTGGCTCAGTTGGAATGGGGGGTGAGTTCGAGGCCCAGGTTGGGTATAGAGGTTACTAAAAATAAATAAACTTAGGGGAAAAAAAAAAAAGAAATACAATTTTAGTATAGTGAAGGATGGTTTAGAGTGGGGAGGCATTTGGGCAGGGAGATGTGACCATTAATTTATGAAATTTTGTGACATTTTTTTTTAGAGGGGAATGGAATAAATATTTTCAACACATAAAACAATGTGGCTAATATCACAAGGGCTTTTATAAATCAAGAAGATGATAATCCTATGGAAAACAGTTCACAATGAAAGAAATTTTAATGCTAATAAATAATAGCTATCATCATGCCTAGTTACATAAATGTAAATCAAAATTTGGTGCCCTAGTTTTAAAAAGTTGTGGTTTTTGTTTTTACATTTTGGATTGGTAAGGATTAAAGAATTTGGTAATGTGTAATGTGAGTGAGAGTATACTACAGTAGAGAATGTAAACTGTTGCAACCTTTTTGTAATGCAATTTGGCAATTTCTACAAATGTATATATACTCTTTGCCTTTTCATGCAATAGTATCATTTTGAATATGTCATTGTACTGCCTTCTTGCCTCCATTGTTTCTAATAAGTCAGCTGTTAATCATATTGTTCCCTATTTGCTACTTTTTAAGATTTGCTGTGTCTTTAGCTTAAGGGAATTCAGCAACAAATTCCTGCGTCGGGCTACTGATAACATAAAGCCTGTTTGGGATTCTCTCCCTATCTCTTTGTCCTTCCCCTCTCAAAATAAACTATAAAAAAAGGACAGCTTGGAGAATACTTAGAAGAGCATGTTAATAGCGATATCAGCTAGGGGTTTGGGGATTAGGAAGAGGGATTTTTATTGTTCACCTTATACAGTTGTATACTGTTGGTATATAATTCCATTTTCTTTCTTAGAAATAAATATTGTAGAATTTAAGATTATTTTAATTAAATGAGAGAATGTGTTTAAGTGTTTAATCTTAAATAATAAATGAAATATGCTTAATAATTTTTCTCTTAGTATGAAAGAAATAGAATCCTTCACAGTCATGGTATTATCATTTTTAAATTTCCAATTTGATAGGTTAAAAAAATAGTTTAATCTGAATTCATCTCATTTGGAACTTTAATTGAACCTGAAACTGGATTCTTTCTTGAAGACACATTCTCATATAAACTTCTCAAGTTGAGGGGCGCCTGGGTGGCGCAGTCGGTTAAGCGTCCGACTTCAGCCAGTTCACGATCTCGCGGTCCGTGAGTTCGAGCCCCGCGTCGGGCTCTGGGCTGATGGCTCAGAGCCTGGAGCCTGTTTCTGATTCTGTGTCTCCCTCTCTCTCTGCCCCTCCCCCGTTCACGCTCTGTCTCTCTCTGTCCCAAAAATAAATAAACGTTGAAAAAAAAAAATTAAAAAAAAATAAATAAACTTCTCAAGTTGAAGCTAGCATTCCGCCTCTCCCCCCACACCCCCCATGTGTGCCTCATGGTCAGGAAGTGAAGTTATTGTCCCCCTTAGCTTCAGATGTTATATTCAGATTGGTCTCTACTTCAGTTTAAAATCCATATAGACCTTGAGTCTTGTGTTACTCAGCTATGTTGTAGTCCTTTCTACTTTTATTTGCTTGACTTCTTGGTCGCACCCACTTAATTATTCATAGTATTCACAACTTACTCACTGTCTTTCTCCCAAAGTTTGCTGTCATCAGTGTGATTTCAGTGTCTCTACGTATAGTCTGTTATTCTATACCCTGACCCTGTGGTTCTCATAGTGTAATCCCCCCAACCAGCAGCATCAGCATCACCTAGGAACTTGCTAAAAATTCACATTCTCAGGCCCAGATCCAGACTTATCTCTGGGGATCAGAACCTCTGGGGATGGGGCCCCCCGCAATCTGAACAAGCTCTCCTAGTGTAGTTTGAGAACTTAAGCATACATCAGCATACTGCCATAGCCTCTCATTTTCCTGTTGTACTCATTTCCAGTAAAATCCCCTTTACTCCAGCACCAGCTCCTAAGGCTACCAACCTAGGCCTACTCCACATCTACTCTAATTGACTTGGCAAAATCATCTTTTTCTGCCTCTTCTAAAATATTGCTCTTCGGGTTTCTGGATTTCTTCATGCTTTATACACTCTCCTTGGTCATACATTGGAAATTCCCAGATTTATATGTCCAGGTCAGCTCTATCTTTTGAGGACGCACATATTCCACTACCTATCAGGCATGTTCATATGTATATTCCTCAGGCTTTACCTTCTCCAACTCCCCTACCACCGCCACCGCCACCGCCACCAAACTCATTCTTCTGGCTGCTTAGTATCAAAGAATGGTACCACTAGATGTAAAAGACTTGCCTAAATTAGAATCCTGATCATATCCCTGATTCATTTTTCTTCCACATTTCCTAGAATGTTCCTTACACCAAATTCATTCCTACATCGCAGTTAGTCTTAAATCCATCAATTTCCCTCAGTTCCTACTGACATTGACCTGATACAGGCTATCATCTTCTCTTAGCTGGGAATCTGTGACTGGTTCCTCAGTGATTCTCTTATACTATATCATCGCTTTTCAATTCGTTATTTCCATTCTGTATTGCTTACCTGTGCAGCTTCATCTTTGCCTTGCCTTTTCTCACATTCTCTTTTCTAGTGGTGTGGAACTTGGCGTCTTGAAAGTACTGTGCATTTTATTTGCATTTGGTTTAGTTTGACTTTTAGTTTTTCTCTAATGTCTCTTGACTGATATGTAGTACTCTTTACTGTTTTGCTCTTTAGTTCTGTTAATCCGTTCATCCTCTTAGTCTCCTTCAGGTCTCAGCTTACTGATTTGCATTTTGGTTTGGGCAAGTATCCTACATGTTCCTTAACTCCCCCATATTTTCCTTAATATACATTTTTGTAATTGCCTATGTTCCTATCTATATTCTTTCTTAGACTATAAACTGTATGATTCCAGGTCCACTATTTGTGTTCACTAAATGCTTGTTTCCATTCAGGAGGTGATCTTAAATTAATAATTAAAACTAGTTACTTAGTAGATTCAATTTTTTATTCCACAGCAGTGTGTATATAATAGGCATGTATCTTTGAATCCGTAACTGGAGGTGTATATTTCTCTCT